AGGGCGAGAGTAATGTCGCGTCTGCGCCACAGGTGGCGGAGATTGGCAAAAGCACATGGAGCTTTTGCTATGCGGTTCGTAACCTCATCTTCAATCCCACGGGTGCTAATATAGCTGCCCAGGTACTTGAATTCCTGAACGACTTCTAGCAGATCACCACCAAGCGTTAGCGCAGGAGTGGGTCCCTGCCAATCTTGGAGAAGTACTTCGCATTTCGATGGAGCAAAGCATAGCCCAAAACGATTGGCAGCCAGTGCTAATCGGTTCAGTGCTGTTTGGAGGCTGTCACAGATTAGGGCAATATCGTCCGCATACTCCAAGTCAAGAAGTCGCTCCACACCATCTAGGTCGTGTCCAGAGAACGCTGTTTCTATGGCTTCATCAATAGCGAAGTTGAAGAGGAAAGGTGACAGCGGGCATCCTTATCTCAGGCCGCTGGTGATACTGAAGGGTGGCGAGAGTTTGCCATAAACCCTCACCCTGCCCGAACTATGCGCGTACAGCGCTTTGATAATGTTTACATATTTATCACTCACACCTTTCCTCAGCAGACAGTCCCAAAGGGCACATCGATCGACCGAATCGAAGGCACCTTTTATGTCAAGAAACACGACAACGGTGGGTCGCCAATAAACATGACGGTGCTCCAACACTTGACGCAATGTGAAGATGTGGTCGATGCAGCCCCGACCTCGACGAAATCCGGCTTGCTCTTCACGAATCTGGCTTTCACGAGTGCCAGTCAGTCTGTGGAGAATGACAGAGGCAAGCAATTTAGAGGCAATCGAAATCAGACTGATCCCTCTATGATTGCCGCATTTCAAACGAGAGCCTCCCTTGAAAATTGGGACAATGACGGAGCGGTTCCAGTCTGTCGGGACTGTCTCTTGCTCCCAAAGTCTTACTAGCAACTAGTGTAGATCATCCACTAGAGCAGGTCCCCCGAATTTGAAGAGGGCTGGGGGAATTCTATTTGCCCCTGCGGCCTTATGCAATTTCAACAGCCGGATCTCACGTTCGACCTCTACGCGTGAGGGCGGATCCGAGGAGACGGCCCAAGGAGAAGGGCGCTCAATGCCCGAAGAAGAAAGCGATAATTCAGGTTTGTTAAATTGCCTTGCAGTGTTCGGCCCAACGCTCTAAGCGTTTTGACAAACTGTGGATCGGCTGCCCACTCTCGTCGCGTATGGTCTCGCTAACACCAGGTCTCCTGCTGCCTGTTTCCCGTATCAGACGGAATAACTTACGATGATTACCCACGGCAGCGGCTGTTTCCATCTCAGAGGCACGATGAGACCACCAGGTTTCGCGGTCCTTCCTAAGGCTAGCACTTAGTTTTGCCCTGAGATTTTTGCGAGCCTCATTGTATTCGCTTCCAGCCGGAATACGTCGGCGAGCATCCATAAGTTCCAAAAACTGTGTAGAGACCCAATGTTCGGTTTTGCAATTTGTTTTGCCACATGAAGACATGCCTGCTAATAGCAACGCTTGACGAGTATGCGACCAGTGATCTTCAACGGTGTTTAGTGGGCGCTTACTCAGCCTAGATGTCAGCGCATCTTGGTACACATTCAGAACATCTGGCTTCGCCAGCTGGCTAGTGTCAATCCGTTCACATCGACGTAGCGGACGTCCACCGAAACGCACCAGGTCGGCACATACAAGTGCGTGGTCAGAGTCCACACTCGTGTTCCAAATCGAGCAACAGATTTGGACACAGCCTCTCCAGCGGTAACTGATCGCGATACGATCGATTTGCGTCCATGACTGGCCAGAGGCTGGTGGTCGCCAAGTCACACTTCTGCGGGTGCTGTGTCGAAAGTTAGTGCTCGCGAGAAACAGGCGAGCATCTTCACACAGCTGGAGCAATCACTCACCATTATCATTACGGGAGCCTACACCATGTTGGCCGCCTAGATGAAGTTCATCAGAGGACAGTTTTCCGACTTGGGCGTTTAGATCGCCAGCCAGCACCACAGTATCCGTGCTTCTTCTGTAACGAAGGAGCTCGTGAAGTTGCTGATAGAAATCATCTTTTACCGAATCAGTGCTACAGTTTGTAGGGGCGTAGGCCGCAATGACAAACAGGCACCGTTTGTCCCCGCGCGACTTCGAAGCACGGAACGAACCAGCTAATCTAACGGCGCACATCCTACTGTTTATTGGGATCCAATCAAGCAGGGCAGCTTCAGCCCGGGGACTCAAAACAATGCCGACGCCAGCTTGACCGGCATTTGAAGCTGCATCATCGCCAGACAGGCGCAATGAGAATGTGCCGCCAGTGTCGCATGTGAGGGATCTCAGGGTAAGCACGGAGCTCGAACCTTGCAGGCGGGTTTCTGATAAACAGCAAATATCGATCGATAGGGTCTCTAGTGTGCGGGCAAGCGCTGCCTGTTGGCCAATCTGCAGCAAAGTGCGCACGTTGAGGCATGCCAATCTTAGCGAGACACGAGGACTCCAAAGGGAAACGGATGAACTGACGTCCGCTTGCTTGAACATGGACTTGTCAACTGGATTGGAGCGAGGCCCTGGGATTGTGTGTGATTTGAAATTAGAAGACAAGCGACTACTGAAGAAAGCTGGGGGAGGGCCAAGAATTGGGGGACTGAAAATGGGGGGGATATAAGTAAAGTTGGAGCGGGACGATAAGGATGAAGGAGCGCAAGAAGGGGTATAAGAAGACGGGAAGGCCTGAGCAGTAGCATCCATACCCCTATCCACCCTGCTCGATGCAGCAGATAGGGCGCCGTTGATTGCTCATGTTGCTCATGTCATCGATCATCGCCGTCCATCAATACTTCCGGTCAGTAATAAACATCACAAACCCACGTTGCTTTAGAGCACTTCCAGTATGTTGAAATTACTGCCTAAACGGAAGTACCCGCAATTAAAACCAACAGACAGGTAAGAAATCCGTGGCATTAAATGCCAGGAGTGACTAATCAGCATTTGTGTGCCGTTGATGGTGTATACTCGAACTCAACTCGGCGGTGAACACCAACATAGTTGTCAGAATGCCACTGGTAATTCGTGCAGGTGCTTGATTGCCTACAGCCCCGATTAATTTACTAATGAGGACTGAGAAGACTGGAATCTAATATGAAGCCTAAACGCCAGCATCCATAGGGTGCGTAAAATACCCACATGGTTAGTGGGAGCATCTTTCAAAGAAAGTATTTTCAACATAACTGAGCGATCGTCTGAGCGGAGTGCGTTCGCGAAATCGAGGGACACTGATACAGTCGGCGCCATGCACGTTTGTTTTCAGTTCAGTACCCATCGCATGCCCATTCCGCTAAACAGAAAAATTCATTTGTCCTTAAACGCGAGGTCGATTATCTTGCTGGCAACACAAAAGTATGCCGTCACAACGACTGAAACGTCACCACAAGTCAGAACGGACTCCAACTTATACACCTATTCGAACATTTATGCTGTGTGCAGAAGGCCTAGCCAACATGATTAGACGGAAATGACGTGAGGTAATTCGGATCGGCATCTAGACAACGATACGGTCTAACTGTGCCGCTAATTCCAAATAGTGATGAGGGCTCAAAGATAAGAAGCCATGGTTAGACGCGTCATATATGTAGTGTCCGAAAAGAAGGAAAACAACTGAACTGCCAGAGGGCTTTCCCTTTTGAGAATGACAATACCGGTAATGTTGCTGATGGCCTAATCGACGGATGAGTTTCTGGACCGTGTGCGGTGGACTATTAAGTAACGTGTGATACTTAACAACCGCTCATCGGTCCTCCATTTTCTAGGCCTTTTAGGCTCACTAGACTACGTAGTTAAATCGCACAACACCTGATAGCTCTGCCTTATGATGCGAGTCAAGGAATGATAATAGTAAAGTAACGCGTGATCAGAGTCACGGCAATGCTCTAGAAAATATATCAGTAATTGGGACAATTAGGAACCTAACGCTTATAGTGGCCCGTTCAGGTCCACTGTTGATCAGTAGTCAGCAGAGAAACAACACATCGGCATTCATTGCTACCGCACGTAGTGATGCTGAGAGAAAAGAAGCCAACGCAATACAATAACACTGTACCGGCGTTCCGCTAACACACCATAACCAACAACGGCGTGGTAGATGTGGATACTGCGATGTCATCTGTAGCTGTGTAGAAGCGAAGTGGATCGCGAGCCAGACACCCTATACACTGGCCGCAGGTAAGTCAAAGCCAAAAAACTGATGACGGTTCACGTGTCACAAGCCTGCGTAAACGCAACAAAAGTTAATCCGTGAAGAGCACAGGTAATGTACCTGCGAAAGTATGCGATCGGTAAACAGAACTGTTTACCTTAAGCATTCCATTTAGAGGCGCAATTCTCCCGGTAAAAGGCATCCTCGGTCGCAGTAGAATTGTAAAAATGGAACATAAGTGGCGGTATGAGCAAAGGGTAGTTAGCGCTACTTTATGCACTAATTTTACTCGATGTTGTCCAACGGGCTGTTTGCAGATGGTCAATCGTAAACCCCATGAAACAGAGTAATGACCATTTCAGCGCAACCAGTGGCCGTTTCATTGGCTCTTGCGAGTGGGTAGTACCAATTACAATATGACAGCCACACTTGGCCCGTAAAGCATACCGAAGAGTATCGCGTTAGCGATGTGTACCGATGCTACGCTTCCGCACAGCAGTCAGTAGTGAACTAGTTTAGTTCATCTTTACCGCTGTATGCAGCGGTAAACCGATGCTGAATTTTGAAGCATTTATAAACCGCTATGGTGTTTGACGGGATTGACGATATGACCAATGTCGATGAGACCAGTAGTCAGGGCATGCAAGCTAAAGGATTGTGCGAATTGAGCATTCAGGGACAGGAACAAAAAGCTTCAAACTATACTAGTTGCATGTGCATTCCTGAACATAAAGAAATGCTGCAGTAAAATATGGCAAATACAAGACAATTTATTGATGCGCTAAGTTGCAAATAACAATGCGACCATGAATTAGATAAGAAAGATTGAGTGCGCATAACTCACCGCGAAGATATGTAAGAGACGTTTGCCGCACCAGGAACCATTTCCTTTGCGCTACCGAAATCGCAAACCTTGAGCACTAGGGTAGACTCATCGACTAGTAAGTTCGATGATTTTATGTCCCGGTGGCATATCTGATGGCTGTGAAGGTAAGCTAATGCTTTGAGCATTTGGTACGTGAAGACCCTAACCATGTGTGGGGTCAATTTAATGTTGCGCTGCAGATGTCGATAAATCAGCTCGCAAAGACTCTCCGGGAAGCATTCGAGAACAAGATGGAGGAACACATCGACTCCATGTGTCGATACGTTGCGTCCATTTGAAGGCTTGTGCACTCTGGGAGCTGTGGAATAGTAGTAGTAATAAAATTTTACCACATTGGGGTGGTTATTTAACCGTTGCATGATGCTCAGTTCCCGGTTTTTATATCTTGGATCCTGTAGAACTCGCTTCACAGCAACAAGGATGGAAGACCTGTCAGCAACCTTCGCCTCACCGTTAGGATCGGTAGGGACTGTCAGTGTAGCACGTTCTATTTGTCCAAATGTACCTTGTCCTATAGTTCCAGTGAAATTAAGATTAATGTGAACGTGAAGGTTGTCTTGCGCACTACGAGCCAGAACAACAATCTGACGGGGAACCGATAGGCCACTGTTGAGCAAGTTCATAAGATTGTTGCTTCCAGTTCTCGTATTAGTTAAATGGTTTGTTGTCCCATGCACGTTCATATGTGCGGCAGCCGGTGGAACGACCACTACGTTAGAAACCGGAGCAATGGAAGGATGTCCTGTTCCGGATGCGGCAGGAGCATGTCGGGACGCCAAGCTCATCATAGAATTCCGAAGTACAACGAAATCGCTAAACAAACACACACAAAATAGAAAAGGTATATGAAATCCAGAGAAGTAGAGATGATTAATCCGACAGGACGATCAGAGGAAGAGGATGCACAACAGCAGCAAGCAGAAATAAGCGACTTAACGGCCAAGACAAAAAGTCGCTCAAGGCGATAGGGAGTTCAGTTAAACAAATGTATTGGTCATTGCAAATATAACATTATACCAGATAGTCGTAGAGTTCACTTATTATTACTGTTTAATTGTATTAGCTAATATTCACATATGTTTACGTAGCATCGAACTGAATAATGCTCCTTTCCTGCTAGCACGGTGCCAAGCTTGTAACTTGACTTACCGTGGAAAAGTCGTGGCCAAACATCGAACCTGCCTAATGATCGGACTCCGTACCCATTCTCTGGTTGTTTATCATTTAGATGTATATGAATCTAATATTTCGAAAATGAATGTTTCGAGAGTGCGTAACCGTTTACCTTGTTCGAATTTCCAACCGGCATTATTTTGAACTGTTGGACTTCAAACAAACCGAGTTTAGCGTCCGTAGTTTACCGACTCCTTTTGTTGTCACGAGCAGACGTTAGTGTTGCTTTGGTCTCTGTTGTTGCTTAGGTGCTGGAAGTGGCAGCTTTTGCAGTAACTTGTCATCTGATGGTAGTGCATTGCTTTTGCAGTCACATGTTCCGCGATATCTGCTTTTTGTGGCGATGCAGGCCACGCGCCTTCTTCGCTTTGCAGCAACGGTGTTAACGCTGACGCTGTGAGTTAGCATGAGTTTACATACATAGGTACGTGTCGCAAAAGCTCATTGGAGCTACTTAGACAACTATAGGAATCGTGAACGAATTAACCGCTTATTCCCCTACGGCTGGCCGTTTCATAGATGGTACATACTGTGCCCAGGTTGCTGAACAACCAGATTCAGCAGCAATGGATATGTTTATCATTCCGTTTTTTACTATCGCATGCGGGTGAACCATTTTTATAACATTCATGGCCGTAGCATGACATAAGCAACGCAGCATATACTACATGTTGTATTCGCTCACATCGCTGCACAGGACATAAAATACCGCGGTACGGAAAATGTCTTGTCGTGCAGACTATGGCGTCCACTACAGTACACCGTACGGCTAGTTGCGTATTACTACAGACAATTATTTTCCCTTGTGCAGGTAGTTACATTTTCCTGTTGTAAGCACGGGGAAATGACCCATTGCACCACCGAGTTTTACCACGACCTGCGGCTTGGTTACTAAAGGTTGAAACGGGAGTCACGCAAGCTTTCCTTAATCTCGTACAGCAGGCGTCGGTATTGGGGCCATTTTAGTCCGCGATCTATATACATGACTTACAGTGGAAGCTAGGTTTGTCATCTCAAGGATTTCCTGGAATATTCTTGAATATTGTAGAGCTCCCGGGGGACTTGAGACAGTTATGAGTGCCTCCGATAGGCCCTGGGAATGAGAAACCTATGGTTGATGCCCATAAATAGGGCCAAGTGTTCTGTTCTCCGAATCCGAGCTGTTGGTCCTCCCACCTGTTTTGTTGTCAGCAGTAGTGAAAGCCCCGTTTTCACTCAGCGGCCTGATTTAAGGGTTTTACTCTCAGCAGCACTTCATTCTGGCGAAAAATGGAAGAAGGCTGCTTGTCGGGGTTTACCTATGCTATTGTTTAACCACCGCTTATACGGAATCCAAACGGCCGGCTTGTTTGTGCAGCTATTTTCGTATTTTGTCCTACCCTACCTAGAACCTTGTACCCGAGCTTGTCCGCCATGCCTTAACCGAAACAAAAGAAACTTGTGAACGGAGATATGACTGGGTACTCGATTAGTGCAACTTCTACGGTGCCCGACGTATCCTGAACACTTGCTTATGGAACAATGGAACAAGGGTGTATTTCGGGTAAAATGACATGCTTAACATGTCCCGCGAGATGGAAATTATTGCGAAAACTGAATCGCGTGCAAAAGTAAAGGCGATTTGGTGAGCTCCCCGTAGCCTTATGTAGACTAGAGGCGATGGTAGCGTTATAAAGGAATAAACCCATTAGTCATGAGTTCGGTAAGCCAACGTTTGATTGCTTTTTATAGCCCCTGGCTAACAAGTTATAAAATGAACTGCAAGTGTGATAACGCACATTCAATTCGTTTTTATATTTATTGCCATATTGGGAGCAGGGACGACATAATTAGGGAGGGAGTTCCTAGGCTGGTACAAGCGGAGGAAAAAGCAATTTCTTGGCATTTCAGCCGGCTGTACTGCGTTCTCAGTTTCAAAGGATGACCTCTTAGGTTAGTGTTGTGGTTCATTTCCAGCCTCGGACGGCAAATGTGGTTTAAGTTCTTTATAAATAAATAAATAAATAAATATTTTATTCTCGTCTATGCGAGGCACGCCAATTGAGGCATCATTAGGTATGTACAGCTGTACAGACATTTTATGGCAAGTGTAGTGACAGTAGATAATTGTTCATATGTCCGTGCTTGGAACTGTGCAGTGGTGAAGATGCGAAACGATTTGGTTTTAGTGGGATCGGGACACATTTGTTTGGACATAATGCTCTGCCATATGTTGCAGTCGTACCTCGAAAAATAATAGATTGAGAATCCTGTATGATCAATTGGAAGATAATTGAAGAGCACGCCAAAATGATAACGCTAATTGATCCGCCAATGTGATGTTATGGGCTGTGAATATATTCGGTGGCGAGTCACATTCGCCACGTTGCAATGTTGTTAAACGGATATTTGTGGATTTTTATAGGGAGAACGCTTGCCAGGCGAAAACCCACCACGTCCTGAAACATTGCCGCCGATCCATTGAATGGCAAGTTGTAACTGGCTGTTTCTTGTTGCACGTTTGTTTGCTCCGTTATTCGCAGTCAAGTTGCGTCCCATTTTTCTGCTGGCTGATGCGTTAGGCGAGTGGCCATTGCGTGCTTGTGTATAGTCATGTGCCAGATCGGTAGGTCGGGAATTAAACATTCTTTCTGGATATGATGTGTTGATCAGCTGCAGAACCACGTAAAGTCACTGAAGGATATACATTGAAATAGGTTGAAGTCCTGAAGGATAGGATGTTTGTAAGAAGTAATCGCAGATCCCCCGGGGTATGTAGTGAAGTTGATTAGAAATATAGAAAACCACGGCCGTTTGAGCGGTCAAAGCAACTTGAAGAGCTCAAAATGACCGATTTCTCAGGCTTTGTATTGGCAGGAGAATTTGCCTTCCAAAGCTGAAAGTCCTCCAGGCAAGAGATATGTGAAATAGTTTGTGTTAGGCAAATCGAACCCAATGGTTCAAGCCTCGGAAGAATTGTATCAGTGCAAGATATCGAATGATTTGTCTGGTTAGTAAGTTGTGAAACGGTTGATAATCTTCCGCTCTTGTCCAGGTAAAGGAACTGTGTCTTGTATTGTTGTCGCAACGGTGGACAATTCCTTTGGTGCGTGTCGCCGTACGAGTGAGCATACTGTCAGGTAATAGTCAGACCCAGGGACATTATGGCGCTGTGGCGCGCAAAAATCCGTCAAAACACAAGTTGGGGGTAATTTCGCTAGGTAGTGATTCGTGAGCACAGGAGCCTAAACAAGGTTTTGTTGCAACCAATAACCATTACGAGATAGAGATGATCTGTGCTCCAACGAAGCATTCTTCATAGCAGAATTAGTTGCACAGGTTCGATGTAGAAGTCTGAGGACTGTGTCAATGTGAAATGCTTAGCTGTGACTTTATTTTGTGGCGAGTCACATCCGCCACGTTGCAGTGTTGTTAAGCGGACATTTGTGGCTTTTTATAGGGAGAACGCTTGCCAGGCGAAAACCCACCATGTCCTGGAACACTGCCGTAGCTTTCGTTGAACAGTAGTGCAAGTCGGTTATGCATCGTATAAACCGATTTTGCATTCTATTATTCGCAGCCGGTTGACAGCCAAAATTCTACTTTGGTTGGCCGAATGGCTCAGTACTGATACGGCAGCAGTCGTTGAAGCCGGTCAATGATGCAAGATTCGAAGAGTCGAATGATAATGATGCAGGTGAGTAAACACATTGTTAATAGAGGCCGGCTCTTCTATTATATTCTTGCTCGGCTTGCAAACCGTGTCCAGCTATCCACGCTGGACTTGTCATGGGGTCGGTGAGTGAAGTTGTTTCTTGTGGCTGAATATGTCCTTAATAGGTAAAAACGCCATTCTCTGCAAATTGGATTTGGGATTCCTGCAAATGTAAGTAAGTGTAACTGTTTCCATAGCCAAGGATCTGGGAAACCATTATGTTATCCCGCAAAAAGCGATATAGACTGCTGTAGATCCTTATAAGTTTCAGTCTAAGCTGATAGGGCAGATGAAAGGGCCCTGGCGTTCTTGGTTGCTCTTCGCTCAGGAGACTAGAGAACAACGAGATCCTCCCGTTGCTGCCACGACTGCCACACCTAGAAGGTAAATACCGCGCGCTGTCGCACGTAGGCGTTAATCATTTAGAGGAAGAGTGCGGAGACAAACCGACCGAACTCTCTGTGAAACAGGCCGTAGGGTTGATTGTCGTTACACTTCGCCTTCCCTGCTTGTTTTGCACGCCCGAGATCTTCCTGCTACTCGTACACCCAGGTCAGGATCTTGAGAGGACTTCCGCAATGTTTGGTCTCCCAGCTTGTATACGCTCACCTGCTGATGACTCAGATAGAGCAACTTGTAAGTAGCTAAGTCCAACTGAAGCGGTCGTATACGGGACCCAACCCGTAATAATCGATGCAAGGCTACAGCAGTCCATTCCACAACGTTTATTTCAGCGATATGCACTAGTTTTCCAGGAAGGACTTGGTCTTTGTAGCAAAATGAAGGCACAATTGCAGCTGAGAGCAGATGCCAAACCCGTTTTTCGTTCTAAACGTCCGATGCCTTATTCTGCATTAACCGGTGTAGAGCTGGAGCTGGCTCGCCTACAGCTAGCAGATGTCATACAACCAGTCGATTACTCGGACTGGGCTGCTCCAGTGGTAGTAGTATGAAAGGCCCATGGCTCAATTTGTGTGTGTGCAGATTTTTCAACAGGTCTCATTGACGCCCTTCAGACACACAGTTATCCACTACCAGTCCCAGAAGACATTTTTGCCAAACTTTCAGGCGGTAGCCTGTTTGCCAAACTTGACCTAGCTG